AGTCCTAACCCAGGTACCTGTGAAGTTGGCCTTATTTGGACACAGGATCTTTGTGCAATCAAGGTAAGATGAGATCATACTAGATTAGGGTGGGCCTCAATCCAATGACTGGTATCCCAATTAGAAAAAAAATTTTTTGAGGCAGGGTCTCACTCTGTCACTCAGGCAGGAGTGCAATTGCACAATCATGACTTAACACAGCCATGACCTCCTGAGCTCAAGTGATCCTTCTGCCTCCACCTCAGCCTCCTGAGTATCTGGTGCATGCCACCACACCCCACTTATTTTTTTATTTTTTATTTTTTCCAGAGACAAGATCTTGCTATGTTGCCTAGGCTGGTCTCAAACTCCTGGGCTCAAGCAGTCCTCCTGCCTCAGCCTCTCAGAGGGCTGGGATTACACCATGAGCCACTGTGACCGACCAAGAAGAGGATATTTGAATACAGACACACAATGAAGAACACCTGGAATGGTGGAGGTAGAGATTGAAGTGATGCATCTACAAACCAAGAAACATCAAAGACTGCCAGTGACCACCAGAAGCTAAGAAGGGTCATGGAGCAGACTCCTTCAATGCCCTTCTGAAGGAACCAACCCTGCTGTCACCTTGATTTCAGATCTCAAGCCTCCAGAGCACTGAGAAAATACATGCTTGTTGTTTTAAACCACCCAGATTGTGGTACTTACAGCAGCCCCAAGACATAGATAGAGCTTCTGTGTATGTGTATGTACCCGGACTGCCTGAGATTACTGGCTTGTGATCATGACTCTCAAAGGCCAGAGCATATCTATGATTAAGGGGAAGATGTTGACCTTGAACTTAAACATTGTTTTGTACCACATAAGAACAAAGATTCCCCAAGGAATGCCCATAAGAGGCAACGTAGACAAAGATGAAAGGAATAAATAAGGTGGGGGAAAGGCAGGGGAACTAAACAAAAACAACCTAGTATATATCGTACTTTTGAGTCAAACAGACCTAGGTGAGGAAGTGTGTGAGGAAGTATGTGACTCTCTAAGCCTGTTTCCTGATGGGTAGAATGAGAATAACTTACCTCACTAAAGTTGCTGAAAAAAATGAAAATAAGATACTGCCTATAAGTGCTTTGCATCATGATTGACACATTAAAAGACTCAATAGATGCCAACTATTGTTTTATTGTTGTTATTAATGGTGTGAATTCTTAAAGTATAACTTCTCTGAGCCTTGGTTTCTACATTTATAAAACAAGGATAGAGATATTTTGCAGTGTTGCTATGAGGACAGAAAGAGATTGCATGTAAGGTTTTGAGCTCTGCGCATCCCATGTGGTCACTAAATTTTGGCTTTCTGCAGTGTTTTTGAGCCAGTGTAGTTTCTAAATAATGACACTAGAGGACAGCAGAGTTTCATTTTGTCCTTAGGCACCGGGAAGTTTAGTCAGTTGGGAAAACCAGCGTCTCTTGAACCTCTAAAAGTGGAGTTCTTCCCTAGGGGCCCCAAGCATCCCACTGGGAAGCAGGCCACTGCTCGGAGAAAAAAATAGCGCAACGAAACACACATTTTCTAAAAGCTCACTGGGCTTCATAAACCTCAGTTTAAAAGAATTGTCTTTCTCCTACCTATCACCATACACAAAAATCAACTCTAAATGGATCAAAGACCTACACACAAAACCTCAAACTATAAGAACCTTAGAAAATGCAGGCACCACCCTTATGGAAATTGGAACTGGCAACCAATTCTTGATAAAAAATCCCAAGTGCCCACTCCACAAGAGATAAGATAGACAAGCGGGACCTCATCAAACTGAAAAGCTTCTGTAAAGCCAAAGAAACCATCAAGAGAGCAGGGAGACAGCCCACAGACTGGGAAAAAATATTTGCTAACTGTATATCTGACAAAGGCCTAACATCTAGGATCTACAAGGAACTCAAACGTGCCCAAAAGAAAAAAACAAACAGCCCCATGACAAAGTGGGCAAAATATATGAATAGACACTTCTCAAAAGAAGACATATGAGCGATCAAAGATACGTGAACAAAATGCTCAGCCTCACTAGTCATCAAAGAAATGAAAATTAAAACCACACCAAGATACCACCTAACTCCAGTCAGGATGGCCATCATCAATAACTCAAAAAACAACAGACACTGGAGAGGATGTGGGGAAAAGGGAATACTTCTACACTGTTGGTGGGAGTGTAAACTAATACAACCTCTGCAGAAAACAGTTTGGCTATTCCTAAGAGATCTAAAAATTGATCTTCCATATGACCCTGCAATCCTGCTACTGGGAATATGCCCAGAAGAACTCAAATCGCTATGAAAAAGATACCTGCACACATAAGTTTATTAAAGCATTGTTCACAATAGCAAAAATATGGAACCAACCATACTGCCCATCGAAAAAGGACTAGATTTTTTTTTAATGTGGTACAATGGAATATTACACAGTCATAAAGAAGAACAAAATTATGGTTTTTAAAATTAATTAATTAATTAATTACTTTTTTTGAGTTGGAGTCTCACTCTGTCACCCAGACTGGAGTGCAGTGGCCACTCCCGGCCACCGAAGCCTCGACCTGCTGGGCTCCGGCAATCCTCCCACCTCAGCCTTCCAAGTAGCTGGAACTACAGGCGCGTGCCACCATGCCTGGCTAATTTTTTGATTTATTGTAGAGATGAGGTCTCGCCAAGTTGCCCAGACGGGTCTCGAACCCGCTGGCTCAGACAATCCACTCACCTCAGCCTCCCAAAGGCGCGGGATTACAGGCTGAGTCACCGAGCCCAGCTAAGAACAAAATTATGAACTTCACAGCAACTTGGATGGACTTAGAGGCTATAATACTAAGTGATCTATCACAGAAACAAAGAACTAAGTATCACATGTTCTCACTCATAAGCGGACCTTGAACAGTTACTGTAATACTATAAGAAAAGGATTGGCAGTAGTAGAAAACTCCTGGGGGTGGGGAGGCATGACTGGCAGTAGTGGGAATCTGCCAGGGGAGATGCTGCCCTCATCAAAACACTGCCCTCATCAACAAGGGTACCTGCATAGTGAACATTTGTATATCTAACCCTGAATGGTACCCCACATCCTTGAAATAAATAATTAAAACTAAAATAAAATTCTTTTATAGGGATAAGTATTTTTCAATTTTTAAATGATTTAGATAAAGCCCTTCCCAACCCAGGGTTCTGTACATCATAGATTCGGAACCATTCTGAAGCCTCAGAAACAGACAAATTTTTGTAAAATCAATCCCTTCCATGATCAACTTTCTAAGTTACCAACTCATAAAACCTTCTTTAAAATATTAATTGCTGGCCAGGTTTGGTGGCTCAGCCTGTAATCCCGCGCCTTTGGGAGGCTGAGGTGAGTGGATTGCCTGAGCCTGCGGGTTCGAGACCCGCCTGGGCAGGCGAGACCTCATCTCTACAATAAAAAATAAAAAAAAAAAAATTAGCCGGGCTTGTTAACGCGCTCCTGTAATTCCGGCTACTCAGAAGGCTGAGGCGGAAGGATCGCCGGAGTCCAGCAGGTCGAGGCTGCAGTGGCCGGGAGCGGCCACTGCACTCCAGTCTGGGTGACAGAGTGAGACTCCAACTCAAAAAAATAAAAAATAAAATATTAATTGCTTACACAAAGTCTGCAGCAGTTTGTCCACAAGTCATAAGAGAGCATTCTTTCAAAGTTTTCATTCCATTCCAGGTCAGTTTGGTGCTGTTTTTGCCATGGCTCACAGCTGAGCCCTGGCCAGAGCAGCTGGACTCCAATTTGCTTGATTTTCAGTGTCAGAGTCAAGTGTGTCTTGACTGCTTGGATACATGAACCACAGACACCCCATTCCCATCTCCTCTCATTTGACTGCATCTTTTCAGCAGGCTGTACCAGCCCTCTTTCTAATCATTATAAAATACTTGAGAACACGAGGGGAGACCCCTAGAAAACCAGAATTATCTTTTGGAGTGTCGACCCCTTGTAGTACACTCAGGATTTGTTTCTTCAGATCAAACTGTTGACCAAAGTTTTTATCTTGAAGTTTTGAGAAGGTTGTGTCGCAATTTGTGGAAGAAATGTCCCAAGTTGTGGTAAACAGGTAACTGATTCTTCCACCATGACAATGCAGCCAACATTGTGCTGAGTGTTCAACAGTTTTTGACCAAAAGTGTCATGACTCCCATGCCCCACCCTTCCTATTCGCCCAGTCTCACTCCGAGCAACAATTTTTTTTTTTTTTTTTGGTTTCCCTGGATGAAAAAAGACCTGAAAGGGAAATGCTTTGCCAACATGGAAGAGGTGGAAAAAAAACAGCAGAAGCACAAAAAGGCACCAAAATTGACAAGTTCAAAAACTGTTTTGAGCAGTGGGGAAAGCATCTCAATAAGTGTATTACATCAAACAGAGAATACGTTGAAGGTGACTGAAATTTAAACATGTGAGAATAAATACACATTTTAAAATAAATAAACCATGGGTTTTTGAGGGTCCCTAGCAGGGACCAGCATAGTCACCACCAGGTTACAGAAAGGAATATTTCAAATATGTGGAAAGCCCTGGAGTACTTCCTGGATGGCACACCCCATCTCTCCTTCTCCCTAAGATATCATATTCTCCCAAATTGAGACCCTTTTTCCTCGCTGGGAAAGTCTGGGGAACAATGGAGTTTCCCTTCTCTACTATCTGAATAAAGGCAATGGAACTGCACACCCCAAAAGAAACAGAGAAAGAGTGGGAAAGTGAGAGGGACAGAAGGGGAGTTAGGGACACCTGTGAAAGTCAGAAGTCTAAGGGATTCAGGCGACCCCTCTCTGAGCTCAAGGCAGCCTGCAGTGCTCTAGCTTTGGGGGTGTAGTTTCTAAAGACCCCACTGCAAGGAAGGCCTGTCACGGGGGGCAGAAGCAATGTCACACCCCCTGCCTCTGCCCCGCCACCCCATTTCTCCTCCATCCTCCCCTCCTCAATCACACAGGTCAAACAAAGCCAGCACCCAGTGGAGTCCCAGGCCACCTACCGACAACGATGAGGACTTCCCCGTCGATGTGCGCCTGGATGTAAATGCGGCCGCGTCGCTCTGTATGGTCAGTGCCACAGAGGCTGGGCACATTCATCACGCAGCGCTTGTGGACGTTCATCATGCAGGCTGCACGACAGAGAGAGGGGCATGGCTCAGGATGGCCAGGTGGGGGCCGCAGACATCTGCCCACGGGAGGCCCTTCCCGTTCCCCTCCTTCCAGGTAGCTGAGACTAACCTGCCCTGCCAGATCTCATCAGAGGGGCTTCTCCAACTCTTCCCCACAATCCTTGATGGACAAAGGAGATGGAACTTGTCTGCTCCCCGTTGAAGGCCAAGGGTGTGGCCTGAAGCAGGCACCCCCAACACCCCAATGGCGCTGAAGCCAGAGTAACTAACTTCAATGTGGCCACTGGCCACATGACTGAGGGAAGCCAGGGTGGGGAGGTTGGGGGAGGTAGGGAGAGGTTGTGGCAAGGACTTGGTCAAGTGTAAAACAGCTGCATCCCCCCCAGTCTTGTGGGAACATCTGCCCCAAATTGTCAAGGTTTCCCATTTTTCAAGATAAGCAGGGATCTCGATTTGTAGGTAGCATCTCCTGATTTTAAAATATTGACAGCTAATAGGTTGGGTTCCCTGGAAAGAGTCAGAGATGGGGAGCTGCAAGCATGGTATTTTGGGGGAGTTCTCTGGGAGGCAGGAGCTAGCTCACCATGTGGATGCAATCGAAGCTGAAGGTAAGGGAACTCCAGAGTTGAGATGATCCTTCAGGGTCATCCCAAACTGAGACAAGAGGCCTTTGGAATCAGCCAAAAGGTTGACCAAGAATCACCCCCTGGGAGGGACATCACCTTGGGCAGCTCCCCGGGGGGAGGCACCACTGTGACCTGCAGCAGCTGGGGGACAGGGAGGGGCTCTGAAGAGGGGGTCTAGGCCAACCGTAGTGTCCACTACAACTAACTACAAGGAAAAAATTTAGAGCCAGGGTAGGGTAGGTGAAATCTGTCTGTAAACTGAATCTGTCCCGTTGACATCTCACGTATTCCAGGATAAATACGTGCTCCTCCACAGAGCATTGGTCTGTTTCAAGGCAGCGGTGACTTCCCCTCAGTCCTGGGCAACAATGGCTGCTCCAGGAAGGTGTGTCAGGAGCCTGAGGCTGACTTGCTCCTTGGCCCACATTTCAGGAGATCCCAGGGAGCTGGATCAGGGGACACGGGGAAGCCCCTTCTCAGCCCACGAAGTCCCAGGGGTAGCAGTTTGAAGATAAAGTCTGGAAATAAGTTGTGGGGAGAGAAAGGGAGAACCCCCTGGGACTTAAGCTACCACCCACCTCTGTCTTTGAGGCATGGGTGTCATCCCCATGAGGTAAGAGGAATGAGTGTCCTACAGGCAGAAGGCTACAGCCTAGTCTCCCTGCCCATATTGTCCATGTCTCCCTGGGGGCCTGCCCCATCCACCATGTGTGTCTCTGTGGCTCTCGCTGTGTCTCTGTGCCTGTCACTGTCTCTCTGTCTCCACATCACTGCATGTCTCCACCTTGTCTCTGATCCCCTGCCTCTGCCTGGGCCTCACTGCCTCGGTCATGTCTGCGAATGGGTCTATTCCACTCTCTGCACTTGTGTCTGGTCTCTTTACCTCTCTCCTTCTCCATCGGCATCTCTCTGCCTCTGTGTCTCTGCCTGTGACTCTCCATGTGTGTCTCTGTCTCTGGTCTCTCTCTGTCTCTACATCTCTGCATGAGCCTGTGTGGGGGCATCTCTCTTGATGTCACCTTCGATCATTTTGTCTGTCTGTTCCTCCTTCTGCCTGAGTCTCTCTAGAGCCAAGCCTCTCTGGAGCTGCCACTCCCCGTGGCTCCCTGCTGAGTCACACGTGTCCCTCTGTCCCTGCACCTGTCTCTGTCCGTGCATGGGTATATGTGTGTCTTGCTGTCTCCCTTCCACCCTGTCTATCCTCACATTCCTCTCTGTCACTCTTGGACCTCTGGGCCTCAGGACTCTAGGGAAGGGGTAGCTGCATCCTCGTGAACTACTCAGCCTGCTCAGGCCAACAGACCTCTGGGAGCCACCAGCATTTTTGGCCCCTTGTTCCTTTGCAGCCTTGGCTCTCAAAGCCTGCCTGCCACCATTCCCACAGGCCATTAAAGCCTTTGCTTCCGAAAGGAGTTCTATCCTCCTCTGCCTTTCCCATGCAGCCTGGGCAGAAATTCACACTCTTCCCTCTTCTGGCCCAGACTCGTGGGTACTGTGGGAGGCAGGTCTTCTCTACGAGAGGAATGTACCAGTTCCACATCTCAGCGTGGAAAGCAGACATGGTGCCTGGCTGCAGAACGGCCCGAATTTGCCCATGCCTCCCAGTGTCCACCCTGTAGACTGTTCCCACACTGACTGTGAGCCTCTTCATGTGACTTTCTTTGACCAATGAAACAGGAGCAAACAAACATAAGCAAAGACATGAAGCATGTCTGCCAACCCCCAGCACTCAGGACCCCGTGACCTCTGTGCAAGCAAGTCCAGGTTAGCTGCTAAGGAGGAAAGACACGTGGCCTAGCCATCCCTGTCACCCAGATGACAGGCCACCATCCTTCTGACATGTGTGTGAGGTCACCCAGGTCCAGACCCCCCCCCCCCCAGCCAACCTGCTAACCTACCACATATGGGTGAGTAAGCCTGGTCAACACCCACTGAGCCCAGCCCAGACCCAAAGGATTGCCTCACAGAGTCAGAATGCTAAAGAGATGGGGACTCTTTTAAGCCACCACAGTTTGGGGTGGGAGGATCATTATGCAGAGATAAGAAACTGGCACACCAGCCCCTCCCAGGACTTGGGAGAACAGGCCGCAGACTCAGAACCCAAACCATGAGGAAGCAGCCTTTCCCGTGGCTTCTGTCATCAGCAGGGCTGCCAGAGAGGAAAAGTACTTACTGTCACATTTCATCCCCTGGTGGATGAGTCCGTACAGCAGTGACCCACAGTGGTCACAAAACGTGGGGCTGGAGTATGTGTGGATCTTAAACTTGTGTTTGCTCCGGGGGTCCTAAGGCCAAGAGAAACAACAGAAGAGTGTCAGTGTCGCATGCCCAGGATTCACATTGTGAATTCATTCCATGATTCATCAAGTCCCTGGAGAACCCATTGAGAACTGAACTTGGTCCCCAGCATTCATCATACCTGTTGGGGCCATGGCTGGAGCCCAGACAGGTGCTGGATAAACTGTTGTAGATGGCTAATCCGCCATTTGGACCCACCTAAGAATCCAACATATCTGCTCCTGCCTGCAGCAAGGCCTCCAGAGGCGGCAAGACAAAGTAACAGATGCACCAGTTAAACAGGCTTCCTTGGTCCTATCCCACTTATTCTCCAAGCAAGCTTCTGGAGTGATCAGAAACCCAAGTCTGGGCATGAAACATCCCTACTTAGAGGCCATTTGCCAGTTCCTTGTCACTAACAGAATAAAGTTCAAAGCCCAGTGAATAATCTACAGGTTGTGCAGAGAGTGCTAGCTTTCCACCAGCATTCATGCTTCCCTTTAATAACAGAACTTCTGAATTTGACCAGAGAGTATGGCCACCCACACAGAGGTCACATTTCCCAGCCTCCCTTGCAGCTTGGTGTAGATGTGGCTAGGGGCTGACTCCCAGTCAAAGGGATGTGCATGCTTTGGGATCATTCCCTTAAAAGGAATGTGTATGTGCCTTCCTGTTCCCCTTCCCCTTCCCCTTCCCACTGACTGGAAGATGGTGAGAAATGCAAGGGACCACCTGGGACCGAAACTTGGAGCCAAGTGTGGAAAGAAGAAAGGCACCCTAGCAGCCTTGGCCTTTGTCCCTTTGGACTGATACCTGAGAGAAAACCTAATTTGTGTCTTGTTCAAGTTACTACACTTTGGGGCAATTTCTTTCAGCAGCTTACATGGTTCCCTAAGTAACAGACGTGGCTTTCATTACCTGGCAGTGTAGTATAGTGGTTAAAGGTACTGATTTGGAAGTACAAACTTCCTGGGTTCATCTTAGCTGTGTGATTTTGGGCAAGTTATTTGATCATTTTGTGTTTCTGTCTCTTCATCTGTAAAATGGAGATAAAGATAGTGCCCACCTTATGAGACTGTTGGATGAATACATGAATTAACCCATGTAGAGGCCCTAAAACCACCTGCACGTAGCAAGCAGTATAAACTTTTGCTTTTTTTTTTAATGTCAGGGTCTCACTTTGTTGCCCAGGATGGAGCACTGTGGCACAATCATGGCTCACTACAGCCTTGACTTCCTGGGCTCAGACAATCCTTCCACCTCAGCTTCCCAAGTAGTTGGGACTACAGATGTGCACCACCAGATCCTGCTAATTTTTTTATTTGTAGAGACTAGGCCTCACTCTGTTGCTCAGGCTGGTCTCAAACTCCTGGGTTCAAGCAATTCTCCTGCCTTGGCCTCCCAAAGTGCTGGGATTACAGGTGAACCACCACACCCGGCAACTTTTGTATTATTATTACAACTTCCCCAGTGTGACCCCTGAACCATTCCCCATCCTCACCTTCCCCCTACACACACACACACACACACACACACACACACACACACACACACACACACATACAATGTTTGTAGCTCCCAGAGTTCATCTATACTTTCAATCATGCCATGCCCTTCATGACCCTCCGGCTCTGAATGTTCTTTCTTCTTCAAGAAATGCTCTTCCCTCATGGCTCTTCTCTTTCCCACCCCAGCCTAAAAGCTGCTTTCTCTGTTAGTCAACATGTTACCAACTCTGTTAGCAGTACGTTGCCAGAGTTAATAACATGGGCCCTAGGTCTCAACCCTGGGCTGGTCTGACACCATTGCCTTTGCTCCCTGCTACCCACTTCCTCCCTCATCCATTCACCCATTCATGCATATTTATTGATGCAGGTGTGGGTGCCTACTTTAAACTTACATTCTAGCAGTGACAGAAAATGAACAAGTAAGCAAATACATAAACAAGACACAGACATTCTTTCATGTGCAATTAAAGTGATGAGTGTTTCTCCTAAGGAATTTGAAAATAATCCTGTATCTACTAGAATTGCTTACTTTAAAAGATTAAGACAGACAATATCAAGTGTTAGTGAGGACAGACCATAAGCTGGAACTCTCCTAGGACTCAGTAATCTGACTTCTAGATGAAATGAAAACACATCCATACAAAAATCTGAATGGGCAGGTTTAGAGCCACTTTACTTACAATAGCCTCAAACTGGAAACAACCCAAATACTGTTCAGTATGTAACTGGATATGGTGTGAGTTGTCCGCACGATGGAACAGTCCTCAGCAATGAGGAAGAATGAGCCACAGATGTACACAACAATATTCACGAACCTCAAAACCCTCGTGCTAGGACAAACACGTCACACACAAAGGGCTACATGCTGTGTGTTTCCATTTATATGACCTTCTGGAAAAGGCACAGCTCCATAGTTTTCATAGACAGAAAACAGATCCATGGTTAAAGGGATCAGAGGGGGGAAGGGAACTGACTGCAAAGGAACAGCACGCAGAAGCCTTTTTGGTGTCTGGAATGGTCTATATATCCACTGGGATGAATCTTACTGTAGGATTTTTAAACAGTGAATTTGACGGCCTGAAATGTGAACTCAACAAAAGGGCTCCCAGTCCCCAGTCCCTGCAGGCTTTGGAGACTTTGCATCCTTTTTTTTTTTTTTTTTTTTTGGGTAATGCTTTGGTTGTATACAATACTGGAAGCATCTTCTTAATGAGTTGCAGTGGTTCCTTCCTGATAGTCCCAACCTCTGTGGTCAAGCGGACAAAGCACTGGCCCTTGTAGAACTTGGGATGGTCAAGGTTGAGAATCTAGGTTGTCTCTGCTCTGGTAAGCAAGACCCTACAGTGCTTCAGCTGCAGAAGGACCCCAGCAATCACCTGTCCTGCCCAAGGATTGAGGTGGTACCCTTGTAACACCAGCAGGGCTTGGAAATCCCAGAACAAACTCTAAAGTCTCCCAACTGACAACTTCACCAGTCACGTCTCCATCCCTGAGTAATGAGGCTAAATGAAGAGATCAGCTTTCTAGAAAGAGTCCCCCAGCTCTGTGCCACAGAGCTTCCCATCATGCCTCTCCTAAAGGCATTCACCTTAAAGTTGGGAAACCAGTGCTTCAACCCTACCTAAAAGAAGCCATCCCTGTTCACGATTGGTTCTGGCCTGTAGGGGGAGCTCAGGGCTTCTCTCACTCCCTTAACCTCTAAGGAGGCAGAGAACTGAGAACTGATCAGGTTGACTCTAAGATGCGAACTGACCTCGTGGGTGGGTGTTTGCACAGGAGTTAACACGTGCACTCGCCATCTTTCTCTTTCTCACATCCCTTACTTCTCTCAGGAGGTTGCAGGTTTGGGTCTCATGGTCTTGACCCGAGATGTTGCTAGAGTGGCCCAAGCCAGCTCCACTAGGGACCCTGATGCCAATTCTCTCTTTTCTTGGCTCTTGATCTCTTCTGGGTTCCCTGACATTATGACTATTAGAAGCCAAGATCCAGCCGGGCTTGGTGGCTCACGCTGTAATCCCATGCCTTT